ACACCTAGGATGCCTCGGGGGTGAGTAAAACACAGCCTAATTTTCATTTTTGGGTGAACTAACCCTTTAAGTCCCACTCTGAATCAAAAGATTCACGATCCGATTTGAGCGCTTCGAAACAGTGAATCATTGTGCGAGCAAAGAACTGATTCAGAGTTTAGAAAAACTCTGTTTTACCAATCACTACGTGTTTCTTAAAGGGTTAGTTCACCCAAAAATGAAAATTAGCTTGTGTTTTACTTACCCTTGAAGCATCACGGCTCCAGGGGGTGAATAAAGGCCTTCTGTAGTGAATCCATGCGTGTTTTTGTAAGAAAAATATCCATATTTCAAATGTAATAAACACTTTTCTCTTACTTCCGCTGACTGTCATACACTGAAGCAGTTCAGGCGGATGATGCAGCACGTATGCGAAGTGCGCACGCCTCTGAGGTATGCTAGTCTCGCGAGTTTGTTTATAGAAGCAAAGGAAGCAAAGTTTGATAGAGCTTGGAATAGCCAGGACAATTTTTAATATAACTCCGACTGGATTCGTCTGAAAGAAGAAAGTCATATACACCTAGGATGTTTCGAGGGTAAGTAAAACGCTGTCTAATTTTAATTTTTGGGTGAACTAACCCTTTAAGTCCCGCTCTGAATCAAAAGATTCGCGATCCGATTCGAGCACTTCGAAACAGTGAATCACTGTGCGAGCAAAGATTTAACTGATTCGGAGTTTAGAAAAACTCTGTTTTACCCATCACTACGTCTTTCTAAATCATTACAAGTGATATCGAAAATCGAAAATGAATGGCTCTTTTGAACCGTTTTTTTTTTTGTTGTTGCTATAGCTTGAAATAGCTTGACGAGTTTGAGTTTGAATCAATCGGAGTGGTACTAGAGTAAATGACTCACTCAATTGAATCGGTTTGTCTGTTCCTCCGCCTTTCGCGCCTTACCATGTTTATACGATGCTCTCAGTACTGGCTTAGCTCGCTAGTTTTATGAGAATAACTGAAATAAGCGAAATAAGTATGATGTTTACAAATCAAATATCCATATTTCCATCCCGAAGATACTGCTGTCCACATCGAAACATCCAACACAAATATACGAACATAAGGTAAGGTCTGCTAACCAGTGAAACTCTCCGTTAAAGGGATAGTTCACCAAAACAAAATAAATTCTGTTATTAATTACTCACCCTCAGTTCGTTCCAAACCCGTAACACGTTCGCTCATCACACAAATTAAGATATTTTTTATAAAATCCGAAGGCTTTCTGCCCCTGCATAGACAGCAATGTAACTGAAATATTGCCAGGCCCAGAAACGTAACGTTAGGACATCGGTGAAACAGTCCATGTGACATCAGTGATTAATAAATCTATATTTTATTCAGTTTAACCTGTTATTGGCATGAAAATAGACTTTTCTTAATCTTAATCTTTTTTTTTTTTTGTACCTTTTAGCTAGTTCATTTGTCATCTAATTGTTTTATTTTCCAATATGTAAATTAATCTGGTTTCTCTGACATCTGGTGTGTCTGTTCTTAATCTCCCTTTAAATGTTTATTAATTCGTTTATACACCTATATTGTATTGATTTTACCCTGTACTTATGAAAATAGGCCATTTAAAATATATATTTTTAAAGATCTTTAATTTGTTTTATATAATTATTTGTTTATCTTTAATTCTAATACTTTTTTGTTAATTTGTTACATATGTTATATTTTTAAAATACGTGTATATGTATATATCTCTCACTTTAAATGTGTGTTAATTTGAATAATTTGAGTATATATAGGATATAGGATTAGGGATGCACCAAAATGAAAATTCTGGGCCGAAAAGTCAAGATGCACTTGGCCGGAAACCTGGAATAAAAAATGACTTATATTTAAATATTAAAAAAAAACTTTTTGTGTAATTGATTGTATAAATATTAGACTTTTCAATTTCATGAAATGTAAATCTGAACTGAAAA